TTTTTTTTTTTTTTTTTTTTTTTTTTTTTTTTTTTTAAAGAGCGTTCGATTCGTCCGTCGGCTGATAATGGATTAAGAAACGTCATCGGCGTTTCTGGTGACGTTTCTTCGCTTCGCGCGTGTTTCTTGTCCTCTTGCGCTTCCATTGCCGAACGGCTTCGACGCTTTTTACGCTCGTTCGCTTTCACGACCGAGGGTATCGAATCCTCTGGGAAGATGGATCGCGTTTGTCTCGACCGTGTTGCGCTTTTTTTCCATGATGAGGATGACGGGTCGGATGGATTTGCTTTTCTCGAGACTCGTGCACGAATTCGTTTTCGAAGAGTTTTAATCCTTCTGTGAGATTGTCTTGATCTTTTGAAACATTAGAAAATCTCGCATGTTTATGTGATATTAGTGAGAAATAACGTAACATCTCGGAATATTTGGTTCTTCGTTGTGTAATATGGGTAATCACGGAAGGGTTAATTGGATCATTTGACGTTTCAATGTTTGCACAGCTGAAGGTTAATAACCTCGAGGTTATCAAGCCCCTCTCTCTCTCGGATGCAGCTGTTTAAACAATTGAAGTTTGTATCTGATCCGAATTCTTTTTTAAATGTTCGTTTCTGTTACTATATTTTGTTGACTTTCTCCTCGTCTTAATCCCTCGCGCAATTTTTTTAATTAAGAAACATAACATAACGATTCTTACCAACATCTTGAACATTTTCGAAGTAATCAACGACACTTTCTTCTAAAAAAAAGTTCGATCGAGTGCGAAGGATTAAGATGCATTTTAACAAGAAATTTTAAATTATATCTCTGCTTCTTAAATTTCTACCCCAAAATTTCTCCAAATGTACAAAGTCCAATTTCGTATCTGTATATCCATATCTGCTCTGACAACTTCTCTAATACAACCTATTGTATTTTTGTAGCAGAAAGAAATAATCTCCCAAATCTCTCCCAAACCAAAAATGGTAACAGAAACAAAATCGAATCGAATTCTCTTTCAATTAAAAACAATAATGAAGAAAAGAAAAGAAAGAAAGAAAGAAAAAAGGAAACAACTATCTTATTGTTTCCTCTCACGCGTATCACGCGACTATTTCAAACATTCCTCAAGATAAAAAAAAAAAGAAAAAAAAATAAAAATATTGCATCCGTGTCGGGAAGGAAACGGCGTTATCTGCGTCGACGTCGTTGATAACCTATTTTTTTGACGGACAAGAATCGAGTCACGTAAAAATCCGCAACTTGCTTCTGTTATCTTCATCGACGTGTCACATATGTATATATATATATACATACATACATATGTGTGTATATATATATATATATTTATATATACTGTGCATATATACACTGCCCTCCAACCCGTATATCGTTGTTTTCATCCCATTTATTCCGCATATATTCGTAAATTTGAAAGCGTGGTAGAGTAGAACATTGGTTCGAGTAGCGTCAACCAGCGTTACTTTTACATCAAGTGTAACGACGATGATAATAAACGGTTGATCGTGTCTTTCTTTCAGCAGTCGACCAGTTAGATTCGGCCTTGCTCTTCCATGCACCCTCGAGAACAAGGAGAACGCGAGGCCGTACGTGATAAGGGAGGATGTGGATGGCGATTCAGGGGACGGGCAGGTGCTCTACAGGGACGAGTACGACGATGAGAAAAGTGAGTAAACGAAGAAGTGAATTTTTTTTTTTTTTTTTTAAATTGTACGACTTCGATTTCGTGATGATAGGATGGTTGTATTGTATTGAAATTCGCGCGGGAAATTTAAAAAGATATTTCAAGTGATCGTTCTCTCCTTGATCATGTTCTTTATTGTCTGACGATTGTTAAAAAAGAATTGCACGATGGAAGTCGAACAAGGTCGTCCTCTTCTTTCTTAATTTAAATAGTTGAAAAATTGATTTTATTAAATCAATTTCGAGAGGAAAAAATCAGTACAATACGTGGATTTATTATTTTTCATAAGTTTGAGGATAAATGAACGAGTAAGTTGAGCTAAGTTAAACGTAAAGCGTAATAAACTGAATGCCAGACTAAACAGTGAAAGGAGATTACAAAGGAGAAGGGATAATGTAAAGTTCAGGAGGTTAAAACGAAACTTTATGAATAAATCTAAAGAAAAAATTGGCGAGTGGTGGAGAAAGTTGGACGAAAGTTTGAAAGTGGTGGTGGTACGAAAGAGTTGAAAAGAAATTAGAGGAAACGTTTAAAAATGGGAATAGTGAAAAGTTTAGAGAGGATAAGATGCGGAGGTTCAGAGTTAAGTTTAAAGAGCTAGAAGAAGAAAGAAATACTTTTACCATGATTTGAAGAGACATTTAAATTAAATAAAACTGTTATATAAGAGGAAAGAAGAATCGATCAATGAATAAATAAATACATAATCATATCTAATATTGAAATTGTGAAATTTCTATAGTAAAATTTCATTCTATATTTAGCTTACTATTAATAATATACTATTTTTAGTGACAAAAATATAGAGAACTTTATATAATTGACTAATCGATTATTAAAACTTAACTATTCTATATCTAAAATTCATTCAACATTAATCACGTAGAAAGTTAAATCATATAATT